CTGTCCCCGGGCAGGGGTGTCACCCCCCCACCCGCTGCGGGGTCTAACGGGCTGTGCGACAGGTCCGGGTGCGGAGCAGCGCCTGCGGCCGCTCCCTGAGAGGCTGAGGATGCTCCGGCTTCCTCCAGCTGCAGCTCTGGAGGGGGCTTGGGCTCAGCCATCAGGTTCCTGGAGAGGAGAGGACACGTGAAGCAGAGCAATGAGTGTCACAGACCCCAGCCGTTCCTCTCTGCCCTGCGAGATGCGGGTGCCCACAGCAGGCTGAGCTGGGGGTGTGCTCGCTGTGGCCCCGCTGCCATGTCCCCATGTCACCCAGGGCTTGTGCAAGCCAGGCAGGGCTGCCCTTGCACGCTCTGAGGACAGCTTTGACCCACACTGTCAGCTTTGGCATGGGCCAAACAAGGGAAGAAAACCCTGTAAAAGTGACTGACTGACGGAGGAAGAGCGAGGGACGGAAACCCAGACCCCAAAACCAAGAGCTACTCCAGTGCCAACAGGAACTGCCCACCACGTTGTGGCCGATCCCCCCCAGCAGCACCAGTGTGACCAGCAGGACCAGCGGGGAGCTGCTGCGCCCGTGCCAAAACCTCGCACCTGACACCAGCACCACCAGCGCGGGCACTTCCAGTAAAGCTTGCTGGGATTTTAGCCATGTGGCATAACCTCACAGCGTGGGAATGCGCTGCTCAAGCGCAGGCGGGCTCCGGGGTGGCTGAGACGGAGGGAAGCACCCGAGCGAGCGGCGGCTTCTGCAGCGGGAGCCCAGCGAGCTCCGCTTTGCAGAGTCATCCGATCCCATCGTTATCCCCAGTCCCGCTACCTGCAGCTGCCACCACAAAATCCTCGCGTCTCACATTTGTCTGGCTGCTATTTGGGGCGGGAGGGAAGAGGACAACCCTCGGGGACGAGCCGGAGCTTTTCCTTGCCGCTTCCAGGAGCCGGGGCCGGTGGGTTTGACGGGAGGATGCTCTCACCTCCCGGCCACGCCGCTGAGCTCATGTCTAGTCATCCCCCGAGGAATGAGCACAGGCTGGCACTCGCAGGCAGCCCTCGGCTCGCAGCAACGGCTTCAAGGAAAGAACTGATTTTCACCGATACTTTCTCTCCTAATAAGGTAGTTTTCGGCGGCGATGACACATCGCGGCTTCGGACCCAACGGCCCAGCCGCCGGAGAGGGGGCAGCGCCCGGGGAGGGGGGCAAAGGGCCCCGGCTCTT